GATTGTCCGGCAGATCGAGTTAGCGGGCGACCGCCCGAATTACGATGATATCGGTTCGTTGCGGAGCGTCGGAACAAAAGCAAAAAAAAAAAAAAAAAAAAAAAAAAAAAAACAAAATGTACATAATAATAATATATAATTCGCCGAGCGATGTTTCATCAACGTGCTTCGTTGAAGTCATTGTTTTCAATATGTAGAAAACGTTTCGGTATATTTTCCCGTACACAAAAACATCGTATAATACATAAATAAATTGTCCGTTTGAAAAGCGACAAACGACGACAGGCGTAGGCCTCTAAAATAATTTACAGAAAAAAAAAAAAAAATACTATTATCGACGAAACGGATATTTACGGGTAATATAATAATATTTATTATGTACACGTTTTGTTCCCGTTTGTTCGGCGATTGTCTCGCGACCTTATTAATATAATGGCGGCTTACACGCGCGTGTTTAATTATGAGGGGGACGTATGAGTGGGAGGGGCCCACGATTTCGCGGGCCCCGAGGACGGACGTCGGGACCACGGTTTTCCCGGCCATCTGCAGATTTCGCTCGAGACGATTCCATTTACGACCAGCCGCCGGTCAGCTTGTGAAACAGCTCCTCGTTGAGCGTCTGGTTCACCTCCTTGGAGCGCATCGACAAGAATATGTAACCGCCGATAAACTCGTGGATGACCTTGCAGTCGGCCGACTGGCACGCGAAAATTATGTTTTCCTCCTCGAACTGGACCATCATGTGTTTCACTTCCCAGTTGACGTTCCAAGCCTGCGCCAAACACAAATATGCATAAGAACAAGAATATAAGAATATCGAGACGGCTTGTTGACAGAACGAGAACCGATATTATATAATATAGTCCGGAAGTCCCCGAATAGGTCTTTAACATTGACTATAATAAATATCCAATAAGCTGCAGTCCTCGTATCCAAATGTCTCCTCTTCGCGATCTTCATTTCCTGTTTTTTTTTTTGTTTACATTCATCAAAATACTCGTACAGTGAGCGGTTTATCGCGTGTCCGAATCACCTCAGTCTATTCCATATTCTCTCTCAACTTTTCAACTTTCAACCTCTTATAAACTCACTGTTTTTTTATACCTTCCCTAGTTACTCCGGTCGTTTATATAAACGTTGCGGCCCTTGCAATATTCATGTTATTCTCAATATTTCTGATTGGCGAGTGACATGAGTACACGCGGAGTAAATTAAGAAAAGTGACGGATAAGAGGGAGATACGCTGGAAGGCAAGAATAATCGGGGAACCTGGCCCCGTCAGCGTGTGGGATCACATCGAACGTTACCTTCATCGTATTGTATCGCCACGTTTTCACATGGTCACCGGTCGTGATGTCCATACGCATCAATCGGTTGTACGCTATGCCAATCAACTCCTCCTTCTTATGTCCCATAAACTTGACGACGAACAGCGAGATGCCGAACTCAGGCAACGACTGCCACGCTTTGATGTAGTTCATTTTGGCTTCCATCAGCGTCAGGTCCTTGAGGTTGGCGTGAGCTTCAAGTATGCGCTGAACGAGCTGAAACAAGATTTACTTATCGTTTTAACATTTTCTTTGTTTTTTTTTTTTTTTTTTTTAATATATATCATAATAAGACGCTTTGTTTTTTCTCCGATCATCATAACGTGTTGTTGGCGTACCTTTCCCTTGAGTTTTTTGGAGAATCTGTGAGGCACGTAATCCTCGACCGATATGTCCAACGATGCCGGGTTGATGACGGGCGACTGTACAACTGACGGATGTTGCATTTCGAGGAATGCTTTGATCGACTTGACTTCGGACTCGTAACTATGGTCGGACAACGGGCGCCCTTTGGCCGCCAATCTACAGGCTGCCATCCATTTGGCGTATTGTTCCTCCTGTAATGTACCGCACAGGTTATGACTTATAATATACCAATATAGTTATTATGAAAATAAATTGGCGGATTCGACGACTCACGCTTTCGCATCTGATACACATTTCAGTCATGCCGTCCGAATTGGGCACTTCCAGCTTTATACCAAACTTATTCTGTGAAAAGTTTACGTCGGGCGTTACTTCACACCCCTTCAAGCTGACGCTGTGCACGGGCGGTACGCCTGACTTGGCGTCATCCGCCGATTTGTACATCCTCAGATGCAAGTCCCGACACGTAAACCAGTACCGTTTGAACGCTTTTAGTGTGAATTTTTTTGGCCTGTATACAAATTTCAAAATATTAATTTTAATAAATTTTATGAACTCAAGTTTCGTAGAAGTGTATAGGTATTTACTGACTTCAAGAATCGCAAATAATCGGTTAACTCCGGGGCGTGGTTCAAATGGTTGATGTTGTTCGACGGCTGATAGCCTTCGAGAGTGATTTGGAGGTCGGAAAGTGCCGTGTCGATATCGTCATCTCCACCCAAAGACTCCTGGATGGGTTGCGGCACGCTCGCCTTTAGATTAATTTGAAGCTGAAATCCGAAAATAACTATTTATAAAAAGGATTTATTATACGGCTGTCTCTCGACAGCACTGTGTTAAACATAGATATTTTATCGTGCAATAATTATTTATTCTATGAAATATATACAAGTAATTTCGGTTTAATACCTGCAGTGCGGCAAACATAAGTGCTTCTTCTTCGGTACAATCGATTTCGCCACTAAGCAGACTCCATTTGGCCTGTTCGTATATTTGATTGATGCGTACGGTATCAAGCCTGGGATTCAAATCGTAGAACGAATAGAATTTGAACCGCAATTTCAATAAATCGTATTCCCTGACGCCTTGTTCCATGATCGACAGTGACGAATCTAGCCATCTATATAGTAATACGAACAGGCGAACGTTGTGAGTCAAGGGAATACAATTAGGTTAAACTTCGATTCGACTTACGCGACGTTCATTCTGGCCTTTTCCACCAGCGACTTGGGTTTTAACACTTTGTTCCGTACCTCTTGGTTGGGCGAAAGGCTGTTGGCCAACGACGTGTCGAGTGAGCCGTTCAAAAGTTCCAACGATGTCACGTTGCCGTTCATTTCTGATTTACTGTATCCTTTCTTCCAAGTACCGTTTTGCTTATGAGGGAAAGAACAAAATAAGTAAAACAACAAACCAAGAAACGGCCATAATTTAAACCATGGATAAACCACAGGTTTAGGCGAGGGAAATAGTAGACTAAACAAGATTCCTAGTTAGGAAATCCAGAAAGAATTTAAAAAAAAAAAATGTTTCGTAAGTCCAAAATTCAAGTGTAAACAGGGTAAAATTTTTTAAATATTTAGAGAAACTTCTAAAGTTATAAATCATCGAGCGAAAACACGCATATTCTAAGCCTTTGAGATTCACGGTGTGAACTTTGTGTACGATTTTTGCAGATTTCTAAACTTATGGGTTGGGTTATTTTATAGTATAATACTCACAGACAATGGTGAACTAATAGGTGTAGAATGGTGTTTCAAGGGGGCGCATATAAACGGCGACGAGGATTGCATGTCCAAACTGCCTGTGGAACCAGACGGGCTGTGGCTGTTGACGGCGAACGAATTGGTGTCGGCCGAAGGAGTTTGACCGCCGTTGTATTGCATCTCTTTCATGTTGTGCTTCAAGTGGTACGGTTCCAGCGGTTTACTCAGAGACAATTCTTCCGGGTGTCTGATGTCTAAAGCAAAGAAGAAAAATATTATCGGTTTGAGCGCACACTCACGATGTACCTATATTATATTATCGATTTTATTTATTGGATATGCACTCACTCAGCTCTTTGCATATTTGTATGACGGCGTTGAAAGTTTTGATGGAAAAGTCGACGCGCATGTCCACGTACCGGAGGTCCGGTAACTGAATGCGTGCGGTTTTATGCATTCTGGTGAACTGCAATTTGGCGTCAGCTTGCACTCCATACTGGTCCAACGTAGACCGGGTCCTGGTGAGCCACGAGTTACGGTTCGGCCACCAGAGAGCGTGGTCCGACCAGTCCAAGGCGAAATCTACAGTAAACACAAATATGCGAAATCAATTTTATTTCATGTTTATTTTTTAATTTTAACACATACGCATTGTACGTATATTTTACGCGGTATAAAATACAACGATAATATTCGGCCGAGGAGTTAATGTTATCGCGACGAGTCCTCGTTACACAATAACGGTGTAGCATTGATGGAATTCGACATTTTCAAATGTATAATATAGAGCGTAATTTTCTGTGTGCTAAAAAACAATTTCGTATTATTAGGCCGAGGATTCCGGGGTAGGGGGTATGATGTACTGCGGGCGTGTGAAAACGAGCGGTAAACAAAACAGTTATCCCGTCGTTTGTTTTAATTACTGATAATCGTTTAAATTCTATATTATATATATATATATATATGTATGAAAAAAAAAAAAAAACACTACGGTATATTAATACCCGCGGACGCTACAAATCACTGTTGATCCGAAATGACAAATCGATCACCGTCCCTCGATAGCGGCCGTGATAGCGGACGTCCGTTCGGACGACGACGGACATGCTACGTATACGTGTACAATTAATATCGCATCGTGTAACAATGTACGATTGTAACAGGTTAAAACAGAGCGTGTGTTCCATTTTCGCGTTCGTCGTTATGGGTGAGTTATAAGCGATAGTGTCATCGTCATACGAATTTTTTTTTCCCCTCTCGTTTCTTAACGGCCCGCGAGTTAAACACCCCCGTCGTTTACAAGCGAACGATAGGCCCGAACAACCGTCGTAATAATACCCTGTGCGCTGTGTGATGCTGATTGATGCGGCTGCTGCTGTTGCCGCTTCGAATCCGTCCGGCTGTGCGTTTAACAACAACAACAACAACAACAATAATAATAATACTAAAATAATCCACGTTGGCAATAACATTATGCGACTGTCATCGTCGCCCCACTGCATCATCTGCACATTCCGAGCGTGCGCGGAACACTCGTTAAAAAACGTACCTACCTCTACCTGTTCCGTCTCCGAGACACGCGTATATTATTATGTTATACAGACGGTGCATCGGGAATGTATTATATCTGGCTGCCGGGTACAGAGCGGCTGAACGCAATTAAACAAAAAGTGAAAAAAAAAAAGAGGCAATTTCATTTTGTTTTCGATCTTGTTATTTAGAGCGCATTATGTATGGGTAAATTTAGCGCGGAGAAATACAATTCGGAAGGCCGTTTTAGATTCAGAACGAAACGAAAGGAATTTTTATTACGTTTACGGTTTTACTACAAGACTACTACTATTGATGCGTTTTCCGAAATATTTTTGTACCTGTAAACACAGATTTTCTATCGGAAATCTTGTTCCAATCGAAAACTTTAAACAAACTTGATTGTAACGTTTTTTCACTAGGTGCATGTATATTAGTATAGATTATACTTATTACATTTGGAATGGTCGTTTTTGGATTTTCCTTGTTTTTTCAATAAACGAGTAAACTGGCAATTTTACGTAGAATTTTCTTGTTTTCAGGGGGCACCTCGGCAACAATGAAGGGGAAAAAATACGATTAATAGTAATACTCGGCTTGGAGTCGTTTTACGTTAGAAATGGTTTATCGTTGTGCACCTACAGATATAAATCAAACCTCCCTACCGAATTCCCTCCTAAAACACTGGCATACCGGACATTTTTCTGGGAAATAGAGACACTGTATTGCACTGTATTTTGTCTGTTTTGCACATACTCGTATATTATATTTGTGTACCCATAAATATTTGTCTACGCACATTCGAACACTTTTAGCGGCTCTCTCCGTACCAAACTCAAACTGCTCGAACTCGGGAATTAAAGTTTTTTTTAATTTTTTTTTTTTTTTTCATAGGCCGATTGATGCGATAGAATTTTGGTTGAATTTCACCGTATTTGTTGAGGGAGGAGGGTGCTGTTGTTTTTTTACTTCTACAGACCATCCAAATTAAGTCGGGGGGAGGGGGGTGTGTGTGTGAAATTTTGTATGTGCATGATGTTAGTATCACGGATGTTATCGCAGGAAACGTTTAGTTTTAAACACTCTTACAGACTCATGAACGTGAATAACTTGATTAAAACTTATACACATGTGGATATGATTATTGTCGTTGAGGAAATGCATTTAAAAGTTTCGAACTTTCAACCTCCGACCCCACCGTCCGTTTGTATGTTAGCGAAAAGGGACTTTGGTCGATTTTGATGAAACTTTTTTTGTTCAATTCCTTATCTTTATAAAAAAAAAAAAGAAAAAAGAAAAACGTGAATGTTATTGTAACGGCAACACAAGTCAGCCGATTTGTGTCAAGTGACGGAGCTTTGCTGCTCGTGTGGTTTTTTTTCTGTTTCATCCGTACACGCGGTTATAGTCACTATACCGTCGCCGTTCGAACGAAAATAACTGCGTCAGCGTTTTACAATATAGAACACGATCGCTTCGATTCCCAAACGAAAGTCGAACAAGGTGGGGTATACCCCACTACCGCACCTATAAATTATGACGTCGTTGTTGTTTAGTTTGTACTCGTTTCAATTTGTCCCGATGAGTGTAATAATTTTCGGGCGGCGCGGGCGGCGTCTGCGTTTGAAATTTTAAATCCCGTCATTAAAACGTTCGTGCGTATAAGCACTCAAGTGTAATAAATACGGGTCACGACGAAAAGCCGAAATGCCGGGGCATAATATTATTTTTCGTAATTCGATCCGGGAACGAGCGTTGCTCGCGGCGGCGGCCGATTCGTTGTTCAAAGACTGTGCGGCGCGAACTGTCGTACTGTTGCGACAATGCGTGCGGTTTTTGCGGTTTTTATTATTGTTGCGGGCAACGTCGCTGGAATAACAGACGCGGGGGAAAAAGAACCAAGACAGACGAATAATAGCGCGCCAGTCGCCTGCCGGTCGTTAGTCGGTGACTGCGCGGCGGGTCCCGTTCATAAGAAGCGCGATTGGGGTTAAACATTTTTTTTCTTTTCGGAACGGGAGGCCTTCCCGCCTTCCCATTCGCGATCGTTCAATAATCGCCAATTGTAATTGCATTTATCCTCCATACGTAATAACGATATCTAATTTTAAATCGATGCTTAACATTTTGAAGCGAATTCGCAGTTACCATTGGCTACGTTGGCGATATCACGCGACGTTTTCCATACCCTCCCTCCCCCCCCCATATACGAAATTCCTGGCTACGCCGCTGCAGGTTCAACTATCGTACCGATATATTATTGTAATACGCCGGGCGCGTGACACAGAATATAATGGCGTAATTTTGGTGCGGCGAGGTTACAATATAATGTACGCCTATGCGAAAACAATTTACGCGCATATGGCGGCCGCCGTTGCCGTGGCCGCGGCCGCCACTGGTTCGGCTATCGCGGCCGCCGTCATCCGTTTTACCGTAAGCAAACGCCATGTATGGAAACTGAATTCTTCGTGCGGCCGACCGCCGCCGCCGCCGACCAAACAGCAGACTTTCTCCGCGCCGGCGTATTTTACTCGCGCCGCCGCCGAGAACTCGACGCGTCTTCTCCGATGTGCACGAAACAATAACAACAACATAGATGAACCGCCGAGGGATACAAGCCGCGGCCGACGGGCGCAGCGCCTCCGTTTTACGTGCAAAGTCCACAAAGGATAATAATATTGAATTGCCTACGGGGGTACAGAAACCATTTCGATTGGCGTTCTGGCGGGGGATAGGGAGGAAAGGCAATGTCCTCAAAAATTATACTCTTAACAAAACACGTCCGGACGTCAGTCCGCATAGCCGATGTCGCTACTGGCCGCGCTCGATTACGCGATAGCACTGCAACTATACGCCTACAGAGGCCGTGATTATAGTTTTCTTAACGCTCTGAACTCCCGTGTATACAGATTTCTGAAAGAAATTAAGAATATAATGTTTACATGGGCAGCCTAAGACGTCTGAGGGCCGGGCCCCTACGTAGCCCCTGCCTAAACGCCGCGCCTGCTGGATGTAGAGGGCGATATTCGTTTTACGCATCTGCAGTGTGCGCGACGACGAAACCGCTGCTATTGACGAGAAACGATTCCGGCGAGCGGGGCGCGTTCACGGGGCGGTATCGCGTGCATGTTTCCCCTTTTCGCGGCAGTTTGTGCGCATTTTGCGCGAGAAAACCCGCGAAATGGCCGGCCGCCATCGCTACCGCCCGGATTTAAAACGCGACACGGCAGAGTTCCCGTACGTATTTCGATGTTTTCGACCGGGATTTCCGGCGGGAAGAAACGAGAAAAAACGCGTTACAGCCGTGTACGCGCATTCCTGTCGGTCCGCTCGGAACCGCCGCGATAATATTATATACCGTGAGCCGCCGGACACACGGTCTCGTTATTAACATCGTCGACCGGCTCTGAATTTTCACGCGAGAGTTTCGCCGGCCACGGCGTTCGTCGTATACCGCGACGTCAAAGACCGGGGTTATTTTTCCGGAGGACTCTCCCGCAGGAACGCGGCGGACGGTGCTAAACCCATGGGCAATAAACGATAATCGTCGGCCGCGGAATAACGCGCGAGAGAGCCGGGCGACCAATGAGAAAGCCGCCCGGAGACCGACCTTATATGGCCGAGTGTATGCCCGACGGTTTCGCCGGCGCGTCGTCCTTGCCAGTCGACGCGCGTATTATTTAATACAAGCCGTCGTCATCGTCGGTTTCGTTAAAGAGTGGGGAAAAAAAAAAAATAATAATAATAAATAAATAAAGCAACGAATCGTTGTGTCGTCTCGTCGTCGTCGTCGTCACCACCGCAGCCTTGTCACTACTTTTACGAATTCGAATGCACGAGTGTTATTATTATTATCATCATCATCGTTATTTTACACGGCGTTTTACGTACATTTATTAATGTTATTATATACTCGCGTGCTACGCGTAAAATAACTCGTCGTTGCGAAACGCCGAGCCCCGCGCGGTTAAAATATACTCGCGGACAAGGCGTAGTGACTGTAAGGGAACAACAGTTGTAGGAACCGCAACTGCAGCAGCATCCGCGGGGCACTGAAATTCTATTCGTAATCCGTATCGCAATATCTGCACACGCACGTGTTGTATTTTCAAGAGGGAAGATTGTATAATTACTCACAATATGTGCGGGGTTCATAAACCGAACTTTGAATCTTTGCGTACGATTCGCATAATCGCGGGGGAAAAATTAAAATGGACATAATCCGTCCTTCGATTCGATTTTTAATTCGGCCAAGTGTATGCATAGTGATGGCGCAAAATGTCAACTCGTTCTGGGTCGTTCGGATTCCTAGCCATATGTCTGCGCTAGTTAATGGGTACGCTACGCGAATCCATAACAATATATAATTATAGTCCCCTATTGCCGAGGTAACCCGGAAATCCTCAAAAAGTATACAACATATTGCCAGTTTTTCCGGTTTATTAGGACAAATCGACGAAAATAAAAACACGATCGTCTTAACGCCCCGATCAAATAAAAAAATATACAAGAAAGTTCCTATAACATAGTGTTGACTGGAGCGAGATTTTTGCCAGAACAATATTGTTAACAGACACAACAAAAAACACATCATAGTGAAATTGCAATAGGCAAAGTGATATGCAATTTAATGAAACGGGAATGCGGGTGCGTTTTTTTCTTATAGATTTCGAAAATATGCAGGAAATAAATGTGTAGCCCACTAAGCTACTCGATTCTGAGCGAAGCGATTCTGGGAACAAGGGAAAAATACCACTAATAATACTTCGCTCAGAATCGTTTTTCGTTAGCGACGGTTTATCGTTGACAATGGCGACAAGGGACATCAATCAAATATACTCCATATACATCCTACCACCCGATTTTTCTCCTCAAACAGTGGCACGCCCCGTATACAGTGGTATATATAGCCATTTTATTTTTAAAAAAAATCCGAGCTCCGGACCCCAACATTAATATATGTACGCGACGGACAATTCCCCGAACGTCACGATAGTCACCCCGACGTCGGTCGCGACGATGCGCTTTCGTCGCGCACGTCCAAACGGATTTCGCGCCGGGCCGTCGTGGGCGGAAACTGTATGTACCACGGTCGGCGAAGCGAACGGATTCCGTATAACATGATAGTAATATATTGGAACATGAC